TCGGCATGATCCCCGAGCCGCTACGTAGCTCCCGTCGGCATGTATGGCTCATCTTCGGCTTGAGGTCGCTTGCCGACTTCAGACGAGATGGTGAGGCATGGAGGACTAGAATTGACACCCTGCAGCGCCACATTGACTACACGCTTGCGTCAAGTAGCTCAGCTTGCTATTCGTTGATGAGCATCATCATCTTCTCGAAGTGCAGCTCTGTTTCTGCATGGAACCAGATTGGCTGTTTGAGACCGTATGACGCGCGCTCTATCAAGGCAAGTCACGCCAAGTCATCTCTCTTGTACCCCCTCGTCCACGTCACTCGCCGCCACGCTGAAGTCCGAATCTTGTTTGATCATATTGCCATGACGAAGCGGAGAGATTTCTGAAACGTAAAGATTTTGCATACCACCGTAAAGAGGAAGCACAGACTACAACAACCTAAAACTTGTTGTGGTCCGGTTGCGCTCGATTGTCACGGTCATCGCTTGTATGATTTCCAGGAGTTGCGCGAGTGACTGTCACTTTAGCTGCGCGTTGAGAATTAAGATGTTCATGCCGCTTTCGCTGCGTCGCTGATACAAGAAATCACTTGGGATCAGCTGCACGTGCGAGGCGTCGCGATCATGTTTGCGGATTAATACAAATCGATTCAGCATCGACTGCCATTGACTCACAACTTTCGCTGGGATCACAGCGTGCTGCTTTTACTGAGAGAACCATAGTCAGCGCAATCAAGAGCAGACCACGAAGTGTGTACGCGCGTCTATACCACGCTTTGAAGCCATAATAAAGGCGCTGATCAAGGAACTCAATTACTGTATCATCAACTGATTTCTGCCCGAACGGGATATCCAGGTACTTACCCACGTCCCCGCGACTAAGAACGTGTACACCTGGAAACGCAGATCACATCTACTTCTGGTTCAGCCCCAGCAGCGTCGACTTGTTATGCTGACCTTGCGCCGGAACCGAGACAGTATTCATCGACAATGTCGAGTTGCGCTTGCACGTTCAGAATCGGGCCAGCAAGTAGCATCGAGTCGTCCGCAAAATAGACTCCAGTCGCCGCGTGGTCTGCGTCTAGTCACACCGCGACTCCTCGTGCGCTCGCAGCATATTGCCGAGCGGCTCGATCGACAAAACAAGAGAAGCGCAGACAACAGATCGCCTTTCCTTATGCCTCGCGTTGGATGTAGCGCTGGCCTGACGTAGTTGTAGTTCAGCAAGTGCTCTTGCGGCTACTTGAACAATAGCTTGAATCCAGCGGATGAAGCCGGGTTCAAAGCCCATGCGTTCGAGCAGACGGAACATGCACGCCCAGATGATGTGGTCAAAGATTTTTGATGATATAAGAGCAACGTGTAGGCCTCTTCGTCACAACTCGTGACGAGATCTTTTAAGTCGGCGAGGAAGCGCACCTGGTGGTGAATCAAGCGTCCCTTGACGAAGCCTTTCTGATCATCATGGATCAAGTCAACTGTAATGAATGTACGACATGCCATCGACGTTGCTCTTGCTAATAAGATGCGCGTACACGATGACTGGAAAGCTTGCGAAGATGTTTTCGGTGATGTGTGGGATGTTCTCCGCGCGTTGACGCTGCACTTTGTTTGGTCCGACCGCAATTGGTGACTGTGATTTTACGGCAGATAGCCTACACCAGCGCTCGCCGCGATCAAGGTGTTCTTCACGACATATTTCGCACACCTTCGGCATTTCCAATGGCGCTAAGTCAAGGAAAACACAATTGAAGGTTTAGACATAGAATCTCTCGCATCTTCCGGCCTCCGATGACTTTGTTAAAGCTTTCCAAGTATCACCAGTGTGCGAAAGCCCACAAAATATATATTTTTCAAATCGTATTGCGAAGATCAGAGGGTATAAATTTTGAAAGTTTTCGGAGGGAATATCTTAGCCTTGTGCCACTTTCCGATTTTGCGGCTCCTGCAAAAGCGACCTCGGAAAATCAGCAAGACACACTAACTCCCCGCCGCCACCTACACCCACTCATCCAAAGCCACCTCCATTTGACCACTTGTATGCGATAAAGTGAGTAAGTAAGTGAGTGAGTGAGTGAGTGAGTGAGTGAGTGAGTGAGTGAGTGAGTGAGTGAGTGAGTAAGTGAGTGATGGTACGACGGAATGAGTGAGTGAAGATACGCAGTGAGTAAGTGAAGATTCGATGAAATGAGCGAGTGAAGATACGCGAAAATGAGTCATTGAAGATACAAATGGAGTAAATAAAAATCCACATGGAAGAGCTGAATATAAAGGATGTGTACTTATTTATTGTTGGGCAGGCTTTCTGAGTAATTTTTTTGGTGGATTCACTCAGAATTTGCGTGTAAGTTTTGGACTTTACTCCTTAAATCTCGAGCATGTATTCTGGCTCAGTAGTTTGGCGTACTGGCTTTAATCGGTTGAGTGAGGGTTTGAGTCCTGCAATGGTCAAAGTAAGAAAGCTCTTACTTAGTGTTTGGGGTTCACTAAGGCCCCCCAGCAGGATTCACGTCCCCCGGCCGCCTTTTGACCTTTTGTTTTTTGATCATCAGATTTTAAGGTGATTTATCCACAACTTCTTTTCTTCACGTATCATTCGATTATATATAATTGAGTTGATACTCTATAGTGTATGTTATTAGCTTGGTACAATTGAGGAATCATAACGTCTATAAACAATAATATAGACAATCTTTCAACTGAGCCATACAGCCAATTTTTAAATTACTGGCTATCCCACAAGTTGAATTTAAGAACCCTCTCCCAGCTCTCTAGAATTCTCAGCCTCGACTTTCCTAATGGCAAAATAATCGTTTCGAACTTTTTCGAACTCTAGTCTGTCACACCGGCCTCCCACTTTTGTAACCGATTACCACTGTCGTCTCATCCTTAGCCAAATATTTGAGTTCGCTGGACGTCGATTCCGCGAAAATGTGCCTTCTGCGATGGAAATTGCCACCAGCAATTATTCTCCAGCAGCTGACACGGTTGATGGTCCACCAAATGACGGGAAAGTAATAATAGATGAGCCAATAGACTCGACGGTGAATGCGGCAGGTCGAACAAAAACGGTTACGGTGACATTTCGATGATGCTTCCCTCTGTGCATTCAGCCCCACCCGCAGACCCGCGTCTGAGTATGGCGGAAGTCCTTCGCCTCCAAGAACATATTCGTCGCGATAAGATAGCTGTTGGTGCTGCTCGTCGTCGCGTGAAAGCCCCGAAGCCGCCGTCGACACTGAGGCCATCGAGCACCAATATACTGTCGGAGAAGACTGGTCGTTTATCGTGCCGCGAAAGGATCAAGCGCGACCTTATCAGCTCCCGATCGCCAATTATGACATGGTGATCCTGACCGTAAGGACCCTCGCCCAGCCCCGCTCCAAAAGATCTTGGCAGTGATAAATGGCGCAGGTCATGGTAATGCAGCGCTGCAGCGGGGCTGCCGTAGCTCTTTGATTAGTGGAAGGTAAGCTAAGGTCACTGACCGTACGTTCTTTATATGAGTCAGAACAATTGTAGCTGATCGCAATCGGCTACCTTCAAGAGTACTTGCAACCTGAGCCAAGGTAAAGAGACTTTTTCAGTCAAAAGTAAAATCTATTTCATTGTTTTCGTTGCGGGAGAGTCGCCAATATCTAAGACCCTTTTCTAATTCATATAGAAATACTTAATTAATATTAAAACCTAATCAATGTTGTAATATGCATTACTACTGGCAATTCTGCCATGTGGTGGCTTCTTGTTACGGTGTAACCACGCCACTGGTTGATTACATAAACTTGTGTTATACATACCTATGTACGGTCGCACCATCATGTGCAACGCGCCCTTTTGCAGACTGCGTATTTATTGCCGTGACGAGGATCGATTTTTTCAACATGCTCGTGAAACAGCGACCACAGACAATTATTTCCAGGTCCTACAGTCTATGTAGGTATCCTTCGAAGCAAAGAATGTGGTCGCGGACAAGAATTTTGGTCTTCGATACCAAGTTGTTCCTGTCGATGAGAAGCGTCCAGAGTAACCTAGTACATCGACTAAATCAGCATTTATCACCGAAATGCACCACACAGTGATAAAAAACGTTAAAAGCGCCTCCAATTTTGGAAGTGTTTGAGTCGATGTTGAACGATGAAAACACAGCACTGCTTTATATTCTCCCCGCCTGTCTTGCTCGAGCAGACTTTTAAGTAAAGGAGACAGTAGACTCGCCTTTGGCGTCTGACCGCACTTTGTTGATAAAGATGGCTGGCATTGGACATGTCGTTGCGAAGCTTGCACAGCTACACGTGATTGACCGCCGAGCAAAGATATCACGTTCAACGCAAAGTGAAGACAGCTCATGAAGAAGACAGTCCCATGGACGAGAGAAGAGCTGTTCAAGACGTGTGCCAGGTGGTGGAGACATCTGAGCAGGTGAATGAACTCTCTCGGGCGACAAAGGCACCCAGCTTCTTTGAGCTCATGCTGAAGTCGATAGCGCCTTCGATCTTCTGCAACGATCACTGGATCCAGTAGCTCACTGGTCAGCCAGTGCAGTGGATCCATGCTCACCATGCAAGACTCTTTAACCCCAACACACTTCGCATGTTCCTGCAAATCTAGTAGGTGATCACTGTATACAACAATGGATCGAAGTACGGTGACAAGGGTACTTGCTTGAGGATCTGAAAGAACTGCTGCAGCTTGATGGGTACTACCCGGTCAACGATTTGGGAATTGCAGCTCCAAATTGTTGAGAACGAGGAGTAGCGGAGGTTTAGCCACTCGCTGCTACACTTTCCCATCGGCAACCACGTGTAGCAACATTGGTGTTCAGACCGCCAACGCTGATGTCATAAAAATGGTCATTTGTCCATCGACAATTTACTATCAATAATTTGGTGGCTTGCTT